TTTCACTGTGCTAACTCATTGAATCTTGAAACCATCACGGGAAACATATACCCCTTATTGGCACCTTCTGGGGGGATCACACCAGCCATGCTCAGGTATCACCCCTAGTGGACCTGGAGATTGAATAAAGATCAGCAATCTGAAAGACAAGCACCTCAACCCTATATTATCTCTCTGGCCCTATTCTTGGCACCTTTTTCAGAATTGGGAATGAGGCACAGAAGCAATGAGAAATTTCCCCAAGGTCACTTCGACGAAGGTTATTCCCCCAGGTTTATGGCTTTCTGCCCCCATGCTGCCTTTTCTGTGCTGCTCTCTCAGCCCTTAAGGATTCAGTGCTCTCTGTCCCTTCTCCTGTTCTACATGCAGTGCTCTCATTCCCTTTTATTCTGTTCTACATGCTCTTTATCGCTAGCAGAGGCTACAACTTTCCACCAAAAATCATGAATCATGTTCCTTCTCTTGGCATATTGTTCCATCAGTCTCATTTACCACAATGGCATGAAGAATTTCTAAGTGAGTTTCATATATATATATATATATATATATATATATATATATATATAATTTCAGAGGTCCAGAGGAAACTTCCGGGAGACCCTGAAATGGGCAGGAAAGCATTTGGGTTCCTCCCTTCACAGGAGCAGTAGGTGGCGCTGTGCAGCTGTGATCTGACCTGCTCTCTCCTAGGATTGGGGGGGGTCCCATGACTGGAATATATCATTGAAACAAACTTCATGGGTTTCTACAATGGTGCTAACTGCCCCCAGATACAGGGACCTCCTAACACCATGCTCTACCTGCTTCTATGAACCATCACACACACACAGTCTCTAGAAAGTTGGGGGCAGAAGGGAGGGTAAAGTTTCACCCAAGTTTTGAGCCTTTGTTCTTTTTTTTTTAATTGTATCTCTACAAATTACAAAGTTACAAAGATATTCATGAATGAGTTTCAGGTGTATTTTGTTCCAACACCAGTTCCTTCACCAGTGCCTATTACACCACACCAATATCCCATTTCCCTCCCACTACCTAGCCTGCCTCCTTGGCTGGCAATTTCTCCCTCCTTCATTGTCCTAGTACACCCTTCCCTAACTTATTTCCTTAAATCTAATTCTGATCTCCCTGTGTGCTGAAAGTAGATAAAGGAGCAAACGTGATAACCTCTCAGTATCTGTATTGCAAACCATACTGCCCAAAAGTAGAGAGAGAGAGAGAATATGGGGAAGATTGTCTGCCATGGAGGCAGGGGAGGGTGGGAAAGGTGGGGGTATATTGGGGAGATTGGTGGTGGGGAATGTGCACTGGTGGAGAGATGGGTGTTTGATCATTGTGTGATTGTAACTCAGACATGAAAGCTTGTAACTGTATCTCATGGTGAATCAATAAAATTTAAAAATAATAATTCTGATCACTTCTTTGCCCCTGGAAGCATCCACCCTACCACCTTGAGACCTCTACCAGTCATCAATATTCTCTTGTGGTTTAAGGTTTCTGCTCTCTGATGAAAACCCTCCTGGGGAGCCCTGACTCCCAATTTTGGATTTTGGAGAACTACCTATCGTGATTTCCCTTTCTCTGTCCTCTAAGGCTTGTTGGCTTCTTGGGGTGGTTGGTCAAGGTGCTACCGGTCTTCTGACCCTGTAGATACCAGCTAGGAAAAGCAAGGAGTCCTATAACAGAACATTGAATCCAGGCACGATACATGTGAGGAACTGATGAAGTCATTCAATCCTCTGTTCATTGCTTACCTCAAAAGTTCAGAAAATAGAAGTGGAAAGTGGAAGGAATTTGAGTTTAGGTTTTCTTTATGGGTACTTGTTAGTATATCTCCAACTCTATCCATAGCTATGACACTTGCAATTCTAGTCAGTGACATCATCCCTAATCTTGGCTTCTGCTCAATTTCTCTAACTTGAACCAAAACCAAATGAACACCTTAGTGGAAAGGTGAGCTTTAAGAGAAAATCAATACTATATTCAGATTAATAACTAATCAAGAAACATTACACTGATGTTACCCCATGAATAAATCCTATGGACTAGAAAATGGGCAGAAATGAAATGATATACCTTCTAAAATTCAAATATACTCCCCCCTTTTAAAATTGTGATACAAAAATATAAATGCGAGTCATTGGCTATTAATAAAAATCAATGCACATGGCAGATCCCTCTCTCTGCTTGCTCTCTGCCCCAGAACCAAGTACAAAGGTGCCATGTCAACACAATCTCAGGTTTGTGGGATCAAAAACAGGGGTCCCTCCCTCCTTCACTGCTGGTGGGAATGCCGACTGGTTCAGCCCTTTTGGAAAACAGTATGGACGATTCTCAAAAAATTAGAAATTGAGCTTCCATTTGACCCAGCAATACCACTCCTGGGAATACATCCCAGAGAGGCAAAAAAGTATAGTCGAAGTGACATCTGCACTTGTTTGTTCATTGCAGCACTGTTTACATAGCTATAATCTGGAAAAAACCTGAGTGCCCAAGAACAGATTAAAGAAACTTTGGTATATCTACACAATGGAGTACTATGTAGCTGTTAGAAAAGATGAAGTCATGAAATTTACATACAAGTGGCACTACATGGAAAGTATCATGCTAAGCGAAATGAGTCAGAAAGAGAGGGACAGACATAGAAAGGTTGCATTCATCTGGGGAACATGAAGTAACAAAATAGAATAGGAGACTAACACCCAAGAATAGCTGAGATAAGTACCAGGAGGTTCCCTGTGCGGCTTGGAGGCCAGCCGCACATTCTTGGGGGGAAAGGCAGCTCAGATAGAGAAGGGAACATCAAATAAAGGCTGTTGGGAGGAACCTCCCAGGATGGGAGATGCATGCTGAAAGTAGACTATACACCAAACATAATTGCCACTCAATGCCTCTTTTGCAAACCACAGCATCCAAAAGGAGAGAGAACAAAAGGGAATGCCCTGCCACAGAGGCAGGGTGGGATGAGAGGGATAGGGGTGGGAGGGATACTGGGATCAGTGGAGGGATACTGGTAGAGGGATGGGTACTCAATCATTGTATAACTGAAACCCAAGCACAAACATTTGTAAGTCTATAACTGTACCTCATGGTGTTTCTCTAATAAAAATTAAATAAATAAATAAATTTTAAAAAGCTATGATTCTAATTCACAGTCACGGTTCTCCTGTTATTCATCGATTTGCTCGAATGGGCCCAGTAATGTCTCTCTAGTGAGACTTGTTGTTACTGTGTTTTGGCATATTGAATATGTCACGGGCAACTTGCCAGGCCTTGCCGTGCAGGTGAGATACTCTCAGTAGCTTACCGGGCTCTCTGAGAGGGGCGGAGGAATCGAACCCGGCTCTGCCGGCCGGCTGCACACAAGGCAAATGCCCTACCACTGTGCTATCGCTCCAGCCCATGATTCTAATTAAACGTCCCTTAAGACTTCTAATTAAGCATATCTTTGTCTCTATGAAACTGTTTCAATTGTTTGTATTACCTCAACATAAACTGTTCAACACATATGAACCATAATTTAGAAAAGGAAAAAAGTGATAGAGGATATGGTTGCTTTTAGGTGGTGTTGAAAAAAATCTCAATCATAACTGTGTCCATGCAGAATGGTTATAAAACTTCCTCAAACCATGCCATGCCCTGATTATCTTTCCTGTCTACATACCCATTTTACCGCTCAGGATTTGGCTGCCATTTTAACACTGATTTTCCCGTTGATGGCTGCCTAATACTTGTTTTCCCTTGATTTTACTTGTGTAGAAATAGATCTTAGACATATTCTTTGAGTAGGTAACTGATTGCCACAATCTCAGTCACACTCTCTTAGTAATGGTTCTGGAGGTAAGCTTCATTAGGAAAAGACAGACTTATAGCTTTGTAATTTTAATCAATTGTCTTCCTTCTAAACAATAGTGCTAGTACAAATGTTACCTCTTACTGGAAAAACAGAATTTAGATGTGTGCACCCTGAGGATGGCATAGTGTCTCCTGCATTACTAGCCTCCTCTCACAAGGGTAAGAATGCTTATGCTGAAGGTTAGCACTGTAGTACTGTCCTCCCATTGTTCATGGATTTGTTTGAGTGGGCAGCAGTAACGTCTGTCATTGTGAGACTTGTTACTGTTTTTGGCATATCGAATGCGCCACGGAGAGCTTGCCAGGCTCTGCCGTGTGGGTGGAATACTCTGGGTAGCTTGCTGGGCTATCCAACAGGGATGGAGGGATTGAACCTGGGTTGGCCGCATGCAAGGCAAACGCCCTACCCGCTGTGCTATTGCTGCAGGTTAGGTCAGATAAACCGAGATGACATCGGTTTTGAAGATGATGAGTATATTTTTCATTCATGTCACAGTCACGGTCACGGTCACGGTCACGGTCCTCCCGTTGTTCATCAATTTGCTCAAGCGGGCCCAGGAACATCTCCATTGTGAGACTTGTTGTTACTGTGTTTGGCATATTGAACACGCCACGGGTAGCTTGCCAGGCTTTGCCGTGCGGGCGAGATACTCTCGATAGCTTGCCGGGCTCTGTACCAACTCCTGGCGGTGTTCAAGGGGACCATATAGAATGCCAAGAATAGAATTACCTTGCAGGCTGTACACTACTGCTACCTACTGGATTACTATCCACCTTACTACTGCTGCGGCCCCATCAAAAGATTTACTGGCCTCAAAATGCTCCAATATACAAAAATTGTGTTCAGGAACTTGATTAAAAAAAAGCGGGGCTGGAGCAATAGCACAGCAGGTAGGGCATTTGCCTTGCATGCAGCGGACCCAGGTTCAATTCCCAGCATCCCAAATGGTCCCCCGAGCACTGCCAGAAGTTAATTCATGTACTAGGCAATAAATTTTCCATTCTCTGAAAGATAATTATGCCTGTTGTTTCCCACACCTTTCTGACATCACACAGCAAGCAACAGTATGCTCACAAGGGGCATTGAGTGGTTTGTACATCATGCAAGTAAAACTTCTCCTTGAGTTTTTGATACTCACATCTCATTCTCAGCGATTCATTAATTTAGAGGCATTTGTCGGGCTTAATGATGCATTCTAAAATGGAGAAAAATAACAGGACATCAATGAGTACTGTTATCGACAAAAATCCATGTGTATATATGTTCATACACATAGAGAGAGAAGGAGATAATTTTTACTCGTAAAAATTAAGACATCAAGACTTACAGCTTTGTAATTTTTGGTAAAGGTAAAGGTAAAGGCCCTCCCGTTGATCATCGATTTGCTCGAGCGGGCCCAGTAACGTCTCCATTGGAGACTTTGTTGTTACTGTGTCTGGCATATCCAATACTCTCGGTAGCTTGCCGGGCTCTCCGAGAGGGGCAGAGGAATCGAACTCGGGTCGGCCATGTTGGCCGCGTGTAAGGCGAACGCCCTACCCGCTGTGCTATCGCTCCAGCCCTATAGTAAAAATTAACTAAAAATTAAGACATCAAGAGATACCAACCAAACTGGCAGTGCTACACAGAATTAAATTACTATGCTTCACTTAGTTTAAGCAACATCACTACTTTTATGTTTCACAAACACAAAGATAAGAACACTTGTCAATTAAGCTATGGCACTTTTCTGATTGTACAATACAGTTTTAATTTTAGAAACTTTAAAAAGTAAAGAAAATGCATCTCTTGAATTGATTAGCTATGATACTAGTAGTTATACTTATTACTAGCTAACCATAAATGCTGGGTGTCAATGCAGTCAGAATTTTTTGTCTGTTTTCAAGGAAATAGCTCTTTTTTTGAGAGACAGGTGGAAAATGAATGTCTTTTTTGTAATGCATAGAGCAAAGATGGCAGTTTCAATTGTGACCCTAGAAGATAGCTTGGGCAAAAAAGTTATCTTCCAGAGTATACATGCAAAGATACTTTAGTCAATCAAACTGTTATTTGCTAAAAGGAGTCCTTCAAAGATTTCAAGGACAATGATAATTGACATGATTAGCTGGCTGACTTTGAGCAAACCTCCTAAGTATTCTGGGCCTTAGTGTCTTTACCTGTGCAATGAGTACTCTGAATTAAAATTTAATTCCTATATATCTCATTTCCAAACTTTAGCATTTTATTTTGTTTTTTATAGATTTTATTTTCTTATTTTCTTAGTTTATTTCTTTGCTCTTTGGGTCACAACTGGCAATACTCAGAGGTTATGCCTGGCTCTGCACTCAGAAATCATTCCTGGCAGTGCTCAGGGGATCTTATGGGGATGCCGGGAATTGAACCTGGGTTTATTGCAAACAAGGCAAATGCCCTAGCCTCTGAACTATCACTCAGACCCACATTTTAGCATTAATCTACCATTATGGACTAGAGTAATGCTAATCAAGTTGCTCGATCCCAATGATCTAAATGCCAACTTTAAACAATACAACATGAAAATTTTTCTAGAAATGTCATATTTTGCTGCGCTTTTAAGCTCTAACGTGGTCCTCCAAATTTGTTGAATAAAGAAATAAATGCATGAAATATTTCCTATTCTCTTTGCTAGCAAATCCTGAAGACTGTTTTCCACTTTCTCTGTGCAATATCCTCCAGTATTAAGAAGAAAAGGAGCAGCTCACCTCTGCGATCCTTGACTTCCCCTTCAGTGAAGACATTCTCATTTTCAAAGCATCTCTTATCTAAAGAAGCAATGACATCGGAAAAAAAATAGTACACCTCAAACCCAGACCAAAGTTCTAAAATTATGAGATCAGTAATCCAGGTAGAAGCAGCCTCAGAGTGTTCAGCACAGTTTTCTATAAGGAGACTGGAGAAATAATACAACAGATAAGGCACTTTCATTGCATGCAGGTAGGTGTCCAGGGTTCAAGCTCTGACACCCCTTATGGTCTTCCATATGGACTCACCCTCCAGGAATAATCCTGAGCACTGCTGGGTGTACCCCCAAGATTCCTTCCAAAAAAATTATTTTTGGATGAAAGAGGTAAAACTATGGATAGATATAGGTTTAAGATTAAACAACTGTGCTAAATATTTTTATTCTTTCCCCAGCTATACTCACATGCATGCAGACTTTATAAAGTCCAGAAATGAAAGAGAATAGCTCTCTCCTTTCCTGATCACAGACAGTGGCCTGCCCATCCTCATGTCTCTACTCTTCTTAAGCAAGTTCTCTAATCTAAGCTTCATCATCCTCATCCTTCACCCGTTGGTCATGGGAAGATCATTTAAGGTAATGATACAAATTCAAATTACCTTGTGGTCCATAATCGTTCCAAACAGCAGAATGAAGAACCCCTGCAACAAAATTCAACAGAAGCATGAGGGACATTTTTTGCAGACAATACGCCAACTGTAACCTTCATACAACTCTTCTAGGTATTTTCTAAGACAAGTTTTCAGACATTAGAAACTTCACTTTCTATAGATTCAGATAAAAATGGACTGACAACTTTTTCTTTTTAGTGTATCACCTTCATGAGAATGTCCATTTTTATTCATGATAGTAGAACATGTGACTTGAAATCATGTCAATCAAAGTCACAATCATGCATAGTGTCTTGAAAAAATGAGATGTAGTAGTCAATTTTTGGTTGGTATAAAAAAGACAAGAAAAGGCAACTTGGCCCTCTGAACTCTTGAAAGAACATTAGAGAGGACATACAGAATGGTAGTATCAGAATCATTGCAAGCTTAAATTATTTGGTCACCTAAGAAGTCACAATAATTGATAGTCAATTTTAATGTGGAGGGGTTGGATTTTTAAGAGTAGTTTTATGGTGAAGTAGTCTGATCAGACAAAGTATGTAATTTTAAAATGCAAGCCACATTGAAAGCATGCTAAGGAAATTGGAGTGTATGTAGCAAAATGTGTTTTAACATCACAGAAACTAAAAAAAAATTAGAATATAATTTTCTAGAAGTTAATTGAGTTGAAAAGTAAAAATAGGATGAGATCGTTCATCATCACCAGATTCACAATGAGAGTTGTGGAGATTTATGTGAGTCTAAGAGATTTTGATTTCTAAAGAAAACCTTAAGTTAAGGGTTTATCTTTAAAGCAATACAAGGGAAAAACCAAAATAAAATGCTTTCCAGAATTATTAAAGCATTATAAGAACTTTTATCTGAGTTGGCATCTCTTTAAAGTCTACTTCATATAGCATTTAAAATAGGAGAATTGTGACAAGATGCTGATTTTCTGACTTTTTCAGAAAAATTTTTGTGTGGATAGACTATACTTTAAGTTTAGTTTGTTAAGTATAAGTTTCGTTTGTTAAGACTTCAGCTTGTTACTATGGCCTCAACTTTGCCATCATAGTTCAGAAGCAGCCATGGGGCAAAATATAAAAGAATTAGTGTGGCTATGTTTCAATCAGACTATTTTCAAATCAGGCACTAGGTCATGGGTTTCCAAGCCCTGATTAAAAACATGATGAAGATGAAGTTCATGCCAAACTTTCAATTTCTTAAGTGTATGGAGACAGTCTGGTTGGTGACAGTCTCCCAGAAATACCTCCTTAGTCCCCAGGATCGAGTAAAACAACTGCTAGAGGGATCGTCTTGCCAAATGGGATATATCAGTACAGAAAATACAACGAGAGACTACTTGAATTAACATTGGCCAAAGAAGAGTGATGTTCTCAAGATCAGCAAATATCTAGCAAGATCTGTTTCTACAAATAACAACTCTATTTTTTTCTTTTTGCTTTTTGGATCACACCCAGTGATGCTCAGGTATTACTCCTGTCTCTGCACTCAGGAATTACTCCTGAAGGTCCTTGGGAGATCATATGGGATTCCAAGGATTGAACCCGGGTCAGCTGTGTGTAAAGCAAACATCCTACCCACTGTACTATCTCTCCATTTGTTTCACAGGAACTAACAACCATGAGAACTCCCGATGGGTTAGCATCTGCAGTAAAGGAAAGGAGCTAGCTCTTCTCATGATAAAAAATGACAATTATTTCACCAAATTTCCAAATTCCTTGAAAGAAGATTAGAAGTGTGCTTTCTTTGAAGCATAACTTTAGTGGAGTTGTGAGTTTCCTAACTAAAGATGATCCTCTAGTCCTCTCTTTAGCAAAAGTCCATTCTGTGACATTAGATACATTAATAGGACTGTGAAGAGGAAAGATATTCCTACTCAAACAGTCTGGCCAGCTAAATCTAACTTTATACATAGAAGGTGAGAAAAGTCACAGCTAAAGAGTTCTAAACTATGGAATAAAATGGGAGGACCATTTTACATTCTTTATTTTAAAATCACAGACTTTTTTTGTATAGCACAGCCAGAATTTTAAAAATATTTACTTTATACATTATTATATTTCATAGTATTTATAAAATATTCATAAGTTATTTTATTTCATACTATTTATAAAATATTTTATAAGTAAAAATTTTAAAATATTCATTCATTGATACATTATCTCTTGGAACTTACCTGAAAGGCGTTGAGCACAGAAAAGATTATATGGAAGATCAAGGGCGTGCCTTCCATGAGAGTGGCTATTCCAAAACCCCATGTCAGTCCCAGTAATGGGGTGAGGATGACAACGTTTTTGCTGATCCTCATAATTATGGTCATGTCCTGAGACTTGGAACTACCAATTGAGGGCCTCTGAGTGTTGAGAGCAACAACCAAAACCACAACAAGATTCACAGCCACAATGACCAAGGCTGGAACAGCAAATGCTAAAAGGGCTTTGGTGTTATCCCAGTTAAGCCAACAAACATCAGGTCTCATGTAGCCTTTCCCAGGCACTGTGACAGCAACTGTGGTGACCGCAATGACCAGAGGGCACCCATACCCAATGGTGAAGCCAATGGTTATCATGCGGGATTTCATCATCCTACGGAAAACAACCAATATTCCATAAATAATGAGCAGGGCTTTGAAGAGCATCCAGAAAAACAGAGAGAGGTAGAAAAAGTGGCTGAAAAATGTCATCGCCACACACCAGTTGGAGTCCCGGGCCTCTTTATTAAAATTAGAGGCGACAATGAAGCACACATTGGCCGTCAGGAGAGACACAGCTATGTTCACGATGCACACATGACGCATGTATGATATCTCTGTCACCACCACCCGGGACCACACCACCGCTTCGATGATGAGGCACAGCATTAAGCTAAGGATGGAGATGCCAAGCCCGATGCAGGTAATGTAGTCCAGGACTTTGTCTTCTATAAGTGTAGGGGACATGAGGATAGAAAATGACATCAGTGTATAGGTGTGGTTACACCGGCATTTCACTTGGTTCTTCAGATCCAACATTGTCTCACATGCTTTCTCCTCCCACCTCCTTTTACTAGAGTGCCAGCCCACACACTGGGCCCTTGCATTCCTGGATTTGTTCATCTTCTCAAAGGTGAGTAAGAGTTGATTCAATCCTTGCGGCACAATCACTGAAAGGACCAGGCCATTCACGGCCTTGGGAGGAGTCTCATTTTGCACGGGAGCTTCTGTCAGAATAGCCCCCAGGGTGGGAAACGCTATGGTGATGACTTGCGATGCGTTCAACGGCAGCTTCCGCAGCTCTTGCCTGGGAATTTCTATCATTCCTGAGATGGTCCTTGTGGTATTGTTTACATTCATGGAGAAATTGAATCGTTTCTCTGAGGTATTAGGGTGGATACGAAACCCTTTGGTCTGAATGAAAAGCTCATCCACGATATTCTCAGATTCGTTATGGATGTCGAGATGCTTTGCAAAATAATTCACTGACTTCAATAGATCTGAGCTGGCCTTTTCGTCAGGAACGAAAGCCCAATTTGAAATAGCCTCTGGGTTGAGGATGTGGTTGGCAATTTTGCTATAGCCCTATTATAAAAAAAATTATAAAAAATAGTGGATATTATGCAAAAGATTTGCACTAAGTCATTTTTGTACAAAGTTTATTTCTAAAATATGAATTTCCTAAATATCCAATGATCTCATATCACAAATCTCTGAAAACTCATTTTTTCATTAGTCTTACACTAATAAGCCTTCAGAGATTGGAGAAGAGTAAAAGGATGATAAAACTAATAAATGAAGTAAAATGAAAAGTATCAGAAGAAAGCTAATCTATGCTTTTTCATGTGTTTGGGAAGCATTTCCAAACTGTAACTCCTAGACCCTAAGTTGCCCATGAGCTTTCAGTGATTATATAATGGAGAGGGTTAGGGGTAAATTCAATGCTATCCTAAATTTTAAAAATACTGCATACCTATCTCATGCCTCCTTCTCATATGAGTGTGTTAACATACTAAAAGTTCTGAGCTGTCCTGCCAGTAGGAAAGAAGATTAACTTTATCTAATGCATAAATTCTCTATTTGTTCTCCTTCTGAGTTCCCTTTTAAAGAACTTTCCTCTGTTAGATGCCTCAGAATTATGTTCTACAGAATGAAATTTTAGAAACCCTAGTATAGCACACTTTTTCTGACAGCGGTTTGTGGGATGTGTTCTTGAAAATATAAAAATACGTATAAAAGTTGTCGTAACTTCTCAAAACTTCCATAAATTAGAATGAATCATTATGCCAGATTGAAATGAAATTCTGGCTGTATTCTGTTGTTGTTTTGATACCATAGTTTAGTCTAAAAAGTACATTTGAGGGGCCAGAGCAATAGTACAGTAGGTAGGGTGTTTTCCCTGCACATGGCCAACCTGGGTTCATTCACCAACATCTCATATGGTCGGTTCTCTGAGCACCACCAGGAGTAATTCCTGAGTACAGAGCCAGGAGTAATCCCTGAGCTTCACTGGATATGACCCCAAAAACAATCAAATAGAAAAGTACATTTGAAGCTGTACTACAAGATTTGAGGATAAAAGAATCCCCAGTTTTTAAATGAAATTAAAAAAAGTACCTTCATTTTTTCTCTGGTAACACTATCAGATAAACTTGTAGAAATATTTTTTAATAGCTCCACTATAAATGCAATATTTCCAGATGTAGCTTCTGATGATTTCACAGCATTAATTATACAAGAATAATCAAGTGGGCAGTACTTGCGGAGTCCTTGCACTGCATCTAGGACAGATTCTGGAGCTCGGAAGTCAAGAACATGCAGAGGTATTGATGATGAAGCTGCTACAGAAAGGCGTGATGCAATATTTGTGTCCTGTTTTTAAAAAGATGTTTTAAAGATGGTTAAGCACCTAGTGGGTCAAATGGAGGGAATTAAAGGCACTAATACTTCACGTGGTGTTAACAGAATCACGAATCACGACCATCCTGTTATTCGTCGATTGCCTCGAGCAGGCCCCAGTAACGTCTCCTTCATCCTAGTCCTGAGATTTTTATGAAAGTGCTATATTCAAGGCTCTTTAGGAGAATGAGACCCATCATTGTTACTGGTATTTGATATATTGGGTACGCCACGGGGAATTTACCAGACTCTGCCGTGTGGGCAGGTTACATTCGGTAGCCTGCCAGTTTGTCCAAAGTAGGAATGAGACATAATAAGATGTCGCACGGCTGCGAATGCGGCCGCACGGTTTTTATAGTCTCTGAGTCTTGGCCGTTGATGGGATTACATGGCGCCAGGGGGCCAGTTGGTGGGTGTGACCCCCCGCCTACTGGAATTCAGAGGATCTGGGTGGAGGATGCTCAGCCCCGATCCAAGTAGGCTTTGAGATCTCAGATCTCAGATGCACAGGGGTTACTCCTGGCTCTGCACTCAGGAGTTACTCCTGGCGGTGCTCAGGGGACCCTATGGGATGCTGGGACTCGAACCCGGGTCAGCCGCGTGCAAGGCAAATGCCCAGATCTCAGATCCCGGTGTTAACAGGCAGAATGGAAAGTGGCCTTCAGAGAGGGATTTGGATGCTAAGACATATAGAAAGGGTAAAGTCTGGCGCTCTTTTGATGTCAGAAGATTCCACCAAAATTCTCACAGAAATCAAAGTACACGTTCTGTTGGAATTTGCTTTCAGAATGGCAATTATCACTTAAATACACCCACAAGAGTTCTTTTTCCAGAGTTGTGGAGAAATTCTAGATACAAAAACGTGTCTGATTATATCAAGTGAGTTTTGTTCATTTGTTTTGTTGATGGCACTACTTTTTTGTTTGCAGCCCACGCCCAGTGGTAATTGGGAGCTATTCTTGACTTACTATTGAGCATGGGAGGAAGGCCCTGGTAGTATCCTGGACCATGTGGTGCTGGGAATTCAACCAGGACTCCTGCATGCAAAGCACCTGCTCCAGCCCTTTGAGTACTCTTCCAATTCCTTTCCAAAGTTCTTTTTGTTTGTTTTTCAAACAGAAGCCAAAAAGAACTTCAGAGGTAGTGTTGGCAAGTAGGGCTGGTAAAAGTAGAATGATAAGGAATTGCAATTATAATTGCAATTACAAAGAGTTTAGAACCAAACAGTTAGAAATTATTTGTTTGTGAGCTGGAGAGATAGTGCAGAGTGTTTGCTTTGGACACAGCTGATGTGTTTTTGATCTCCAGCACCCAACTGGGCCTCTGATCCCTGCCAGGATTGATCCCTGAGCACAGAGCCTGGAGTAAGCCCTGAGTACCACCAGGTGTGGCCCCCAAGAAACAAAAGAACAATAATTTATCTCTTTGTGTCCTAATATGTTAACCTAGGATCTCAGAATGACTTAAAACAAGTTGAGACAATCATTACTTTAGTTACAAATCTAGTTTATTCAGTTTATTAGAGGTGCCAGATTATGTTTGCTAATCAGAAATCCCTTTATAAAACCTCTGTAAAAATTTCAAGAAAGCATACATTAAAGTGCTTCTCCACGGGCTGGAGAGATAGCACAGCGGGTAGGGCATTTGCTTTGCACGCGGCCGACCTGGGTTCGAGTCCCAGCATCCCATAGGGTCCCCTGAGCACCGCCAGGAGTAACTCCTGAGTGCAGAGCCAGGAGTAACCCCTGTGCATCTCCAGGTGTAAATCAAAAATAAAAAAAAAAAACAGATGTGAATGGTTGCTAGTCAAAAGAACATACTATAGAATACTTTATCTTAAATGAGATTTGGATTCCTGTTCCTTTCTTTTGGTCACGTGACTGAAGGGTTTAGAAAAAGATGTCAAATGAAAAACATTTAGTTAATCAACTGATTTGTCCAAGAGGCTTCAAATCTATCTTTAAAATTAAAATTTAACCACTAAACATGTTCTGCTTACAAAATAAGTATCAGATTTTTTTTGTGAGCAAGTATTTGAAAGGGATCCATGGCTTGAAAGTAAGAACATACCTGAGCCATTAAGTGAGAAAAAAAGAAGGAGGTGACATCTGGAATCCATTCTGTAGGTTCGCTCAGTCCAGATCTTAAACACTGTCAGACTGAACAAACTGAAAAAAATGCCTCTCCTATCACCTGGGAATTGGCTGCATTAGATCATCAATAATGCAAATACATTACCTTAAAGAGTGTTTCCACAGAGAGGCTTGTACATGTTTCAGTTGATTTTCGCCATTTGTGTTGCTTACATGAAAATTCTATTTTGCCATGAAACCGCTGAGTGCAGGACTCGCTGCAGTTAGAAGAAACAATACAAGGTCCAAGGCATTTCTCTGAAAAGAAGGGAGGGAAGAAAGAGGAAGAGCAGTAATAGCCTAATTAGCATTTCTATTCTCTGACAATAACAGGTCTCATTCCCCTGACCCTGAAAGAGCCTCCAATGAGTTGGGAAGACCTAGAGGAGAGGCTGCTAAAATCTCAGGGCTGTGACGAATGGAGACTGGAGACGTCAATGGAGCCCACTAGATCAAGTCAATGAACAATGGGACGACAGTGCTACAGGACATTCTCTGATATCTAGCTAAGGGCAGTAAACTCATTCTAAGAGTTGGAATGAGTCCTGAGGTTCATAAGGTCAAGTTTTTAGGTCCCAGAGGACATGACCTTGAATGGGGTCCTCAACAAGTAAGACCTACTGGACAGGCAATGTGTTACTGACATCTAGGCAGAGTGACCAGCACAAGGATAGGGGCTATTCAGAAAGGTCTTTGTCTTTAATGTCTTTGAAGAAAGGGTGAAAAAAGATGAGAATGGAAATAAATCTTGGTTGTCATGAATGACCTCAAGTGTTGTGCTAATTAGATATTACCATAAAATATGCTTGGATTTGTTTTTGAAAGATAATTAGTGATAGTATAGAATACAATCTAAATTTACTACAATCAGTAAGCTTTTATGAAGAGAACCAGATTAGTAGAGTTGCAAGATAAAAATAGGAAGTCCAGTTAAATGTTCATTTTACTGTCAAAGTCTATTGTCATTCTACACAGCAATGGTGTTAAAAATCACCACAGATACCATACTAGAAAATACAGTATCATCACTCCTTGGAGAAATATGAAAAGTTACATTCTTGCAAGTTTCTGAAAAGTTCATTTTCACCAAGAGGTCAATATGTCTATTTTATATGTGCTTCTATTTAAAGAGTTCTTAGTCAATACATAGCACTGGTTCATTAACATAAACCCAATGCCAATATACTCAGCAGCACTATAACTCATGACAGATTGTGAGCAAAGCTTTTCTAACACGTGTGCTTCCTGCATAAGGCACATCAGAACCACATAAGGAACACTATCTGCACTTCACCATTACACTGAGAGGTCAGAGGTCATTATAACCAGCATTATAATCAATTTCATTATGCTCAATGAAAAAGAACAATAAAAAATAGAAAAACAAATGATACTACATAGGCCACCAGAAGAATACTTGGTTACATTAGAGTAGGGCTTCTTAAAATTTTACACTGGAAACCCTAATGTCCCCAGGAAATGAAACAGGGAAGAGCTCCCAGTTCACTATGAGGTTGACTTTTAATTAATATCTGGTTGTTGCACATTCAGAAACCTTTTACAGAGTTCCACTTTGTGCAGCATGATCTGAAAACATGCACCTTGATGACTCACTTATCTTGATGTTCTGTGCATTACTATGAATCATGGAGAGAGAAAACACTGTATTGATTTAGGAGAGTACAAACAAATTTCATGAGTATTAGAATTTAAAAGTACAACATTCATAAATAATGAGGATCAACTAAAAAATTTCAAATAAACAACAAATAACTTTTCAATGACCCATTGAAAAAAATTCATGACCCAAAAAAAAGTATTCTTTAACTGAAATTTAATCAGGCATCCTAGATTTTCATTTGCTAACTATGACAGCTCTAGTCAATGAGTAAAATGTTTAAGCTTTGTGCCATACAGCCTTAATTGAAACTGCTTGACTCTGCCTTTATAACTCAAAAGCAGTTAAAGGGAATATGTACATGAACAGAGATAACAGCATGCCAGTAAAACTTTATAGAAGAAGCCTTAATTTGGTCCGTGGGTAGAGTATGTTGACTCCACAAGAGTAAATTTATTAAAATATTCCCTGAAAGAGTTGCCTTGGGATAGTGGAATGGAAAGAAATAGATAATGTAAGTTATTAAGGTGTTGACATCAAGTGACAAGTTGGCTAAAAGTCATGGGATGCACCCCTTTATCTGTATTTCACAGTTCAGTGGAGGGCTCCATTTTGAGAAAGGAAGTAAGTTGGTTTGTATCTTTCTTTGACATTTATCCAAGTGTATCAATTTTGGGCAAGTTATTTAAGCTGAGTGCTTCTCCTCCATATAGCTTTGTTCATCCATGTAGCTTGGCGATGATACCATAATGCTAATACAAATATTAAGAGACAGAATCTTACACAACACTTGGATAAGTGTTACTGAATAGATGTTAATTTTCTTTCTTTCTTTTTACTTTCTCAATTCCACATCTATGGATGTACTTGCCACCAAATATAGATAAATTTAGCTCTGAAACTATACTTGACTATGAATATACAGAATTCAGTGATTCCTACTATTTGGGTGAGAATATCACTATCAGTATCAATATCACTATCTTACCTCCATTACGTATCTCTCCCTGCTGAGAGTGAGCAGTCTTGTCCTCATAATACCTATCTTTCATTTTCAAAGACCTCTTAGCACCAGAGTATTACACTGAAGTACGCTTCCTGAAAATAACTTTGAATTAAGGGAATGAAGAAATGAAGGAATCTTTTCCTCATTCTTCTTTTATCTCTTATTAGCTCATGGAAGCCAAGAGATTTTACACTGGGGTTTTAAAATGAACTCTTGCCTATTCTTCTTGGTCATATGTAAATATTTGCTAACTTACTTCATTGATTATGCCATAGATAACTGCAAGGAAATCTGTCAATACTGTAAACATGAAGACTGTATTAGTAATTGTTGTTTGTCTGAAAGCATATCATCTGAGGATGTACTTGCAAGAGCAGTGACCTCTCTTTTCCCTGCTAAATCTCCAAATGAAAGGTTGTACTGTGGACACATACCTTGATTCCTTTCAGTTTTGTGCTTCCCTCCAGGATGGTAAAGTTTATCTCCATCCTATAAAACATAAATTTTCAGAGTCTCTTTTACTGTGGGATTCTCCTCTCTCATCTCAGCTTAGAGACTCAATGGGAATAGAAAGAGAAACTTGGCTCAGACTAGAAAGAAAGTTGCAGTAGGTCCCTGTGTTGATTCACAGGAACAGGTGGAAAGAACCCTAACTGTGAGCGCAGGCAGAGAGCACACTCTCATCCATGAGTTCTAGAACCTTCACAGTGGTCACTGGACTCTGAAGTTCAGAACAGTGGGTTGTGTTTGGAAGTACTCAGGGAGAACCCCAAATGACTAAGCAATGTTAGAGCACCACTCTATTCTCTGCCTGTCTGAACAGTAACGGGAAAAGAACTACCACTGCCAACTGGATAGTACCCATCCTCAGAGAGGAAGTACCTAGCAGATACTAGGAATAATCACTGAAAACCAGTAATAGAATAGTTAACTCATTTGTAGTCATGAGATAAGGTAAAGATGATTTAAAAGAAAAGCCACTGGAACTGGAAAATAGTATAAGAGGTAGGGTGTTTGCCCTGCACACAGCCCTGAGCAACGCCAGGAATGATTCCTGAGTGCAGAGTCGGGAGTAACCCCTGAGCATCACCAGGTCTGGCCCAAAAACAAAAACAAGCACTGCACTGCACTGTCCTCCTGTTGTTCATTGATGTTGCTCCAGCGGGCACCAGTAGCATCTCCATTTTGAGACTTGTTGTTACTGTTTTTGGCATATCGAATACGCCACGAGGAGCTTGCCAGGCTCTGCTGTGAGACTGGAATACTCTCGGTAACTTGTCAGGCTCTCCTAGAGAGATGGAGGAATCAAACCCGGGTCGACCGAGTGCAAGGCAAACACCCTACCTGTTGTGCTATCACTCCAGCTTAAACAAACAAATATATATATATATATTAAATTTGTTGTTACTGTGTCTGGCATATCGAATATATCACGGGGAGCTTGCCAGGCTCTGCCATGCGGGTGAGATACTCTCGGTAGCTTGCCGGGCTCTCCGAGAGGGGAGGAGGAATCGAACTCGGGTCGGCCATGTTGGCTGCGTGCAAGGCAAACGCCCTACCGCTGTGCTTTATTTTATCAGTGACACATAAAAAATTGTGCTACAAATAATTAAGACTCAGAGAAGAAAAGCAATTTGGGTAACTAACAAGAAGTAGAATTAAGGTCACACCCTAAATTATTTGATGCCTAAGCCTGTAGTTGACTCTCTTCTCAAACACTCACCATCCAGGTTCTCACTAGTTTATAGTTATTTTTCTACCATACTACTGTACCCTGTTTCCTCTTGCAATCATGCCACTTAAAGTCCTAGAAGTCTCTCACCTTTGCTTTGTTCTCTTCTTTAGAAAATTGCTCTGTCTCTAAAGGAGTAGTATTGTAATGATTTGGAAATTGATTTTAAGTGACATGAGTTGTTTAGCATTAATCTAGTCATTAAGAGAACTGATGGGGCTTCTCTCATGGATCAAGAGTCAAAATAAATTTGGTCCTAGTAAGAGTCAGACTTACTTGTTTGTGGAACTTAGATCTATAGTGAGAAGACTCTGTGACCAGAAATAATGTTAAACAGCAAACCATGGCTGCCTGACGCTTCATTTTCACACATTAGGATCCTCACCTGAAGAGATAACAAAAGTGAATCCAGCTGAAATAAAGTATACCACACAACTAATGGAATATTTAGTAGACCATTGCCTCGCCGACCCCACAGATATTCAAGTAATCAGATCAAATAGCCTTCCCAAGGGAAGGGCACTAGTACCTACATCCAAGATCAGCTAAAACATGAAAAAGAGAGAAATTTTACTGCAGTTGACCCTTTAAAAAACAGTAGGCAGGAAGGTGGGGAGCACAGGAGAGATGTATATTTACCAAGGCATCATTTCTTATTTAATCCACAAGTTTACTTAATACCAAGTAACACTTATCAAGAAATTCTATTTGCCAAGTGTTAATCTAAGCACTTTTTTGCATTATTTTATCTGATTATTTAATATCTATATTATTATGTGATATAAGGTATCAACTTAGAAACTGAGACACAACATGTGGAGCAAGAGTGAGATGAGATTATTCAAATTTTTTAAAATGCTGGAGCTGGAGTGGAAGATAGACTAGTGGTTAGGGTGCATGCCTAGCATGTGTCCTACCCAGGTTTGATCCATGGAACCACATGGTCTTGCAAGCATCACCACAGAGCATACTGCATCCTTAGACTTCGCCATTGAACAAGTTTTGCCCCTGTCTTCCTGAGAACTGTTTTTCACTCCAAAATTGACACCCAATTTTCAAAAATGGTGAAGGTACCTGGGAGATATTATAGGAGTTATGGTCCTTGTCTTGCATACTTGGTTTTGAACCCCAGCACTACACATCAAAATAAAACAAAGTGGAGTTCAGAATACAACCCAGTTAGAATTGTGAATTGCTCTGGCGGGTTCTTAGCAATGGGACCCTTGAAATTTGGGGTTGCAGAATTCTTTGCTACTTTCATTATTATTTTGGAGGGAGCTATGAATAAATAGTAGGCTACTTAGCTACATCTCTGGCCTATACTCACCCCACCGAGGAACAACCTCTCTTCAGTTGTGCTATCACAAAACATCTTCAGATATTTCTGGTAACCACTGTCCTGAAGTGTGTATACTTTCTGAACATATGGAGTCAAATTACTTAAAATGAAATGATTATTCTCTATTGTTTGCTATTAGAGTAAGCACTCAGACCCCCTCGTAGAAAAAAAATAAACCACCGTGCAGAGAAAACAGAAAACCTGTAGGTCTCTACTCTTTCATCATATTTTTATGTCTTCCCTTTACTTCACAGTTCAACCTTTCAAAGCCAAGTCTCCAAGAAAGGATCCTTATATAAGTTAAGAGTCATCATTAGATGATCATCATTTTCATATTATCATCTAATATTTTTGTTATATACAAAGATAATTCTATGTAAAAATGTTAATTGGTAAAAAAATCCCTTAAAATTATTTTCTGCAAGAAAAAGACAGTAAAATAAAAATATGATAGTTCTAATAACACATGGAATATAAACTACTAAAGGAATTAAACTGGTAGTGAACTGCTAGATTTGGTGAAAACTATAAAGGCTAGCAAAAGGAAAGGGAAGGAGAGAGAAAGAATGGGAAAAGTTTCTGTTTTAGGGTGGGGGACAATGTTGGAACTTGGGTGGCGAGCGTAATTACAAGCATACACATACAGAAGTGTAAAATAATGTTTCCAAACCCCATATTATAAATCAACTATGAGTCAGTGAAAAGATAATTCTTAAAAACCCTTTAAGCTCTGATGGAGATAAAATCTCTCTGATCTATAGAAGCACATGAGGTCCTCTGCCACTCAGAAGACAAACTCAAGATTTAGCATTAAATTCGTCCTTGGAGAACTCCATGTCTGGATAGATTTGCCTGATTCCAGTAAGCCTAGAGCTGGGATGAGAAGTGACAGGCACTAACAGGAAAACTTCTTTAGGGTTTCTGGATTCCTAAAGAATGAACAGGGTGAGGGTGTTTTGACTTATAACATCATCTTGTAGAGCAAGTCTGAGCAAGGAAAAGGGAGCATGGCAAAATTACAGGAAGAGTGTGGTAATGGATTTGCATAGGTATTGGGATACCTATTTGTAATTCATGATCTGATGTGTGGGAGAAAAGAAGTTCTCATGTATAGCATGAATTGGTAGATGGAAATACTAGTAATGGAACACTAGCAATTTGCATTACAAATATTGTTTAGGGCAGATTTTCTAAACTGATCATCACATGAGGATATACCAGAAGAACCAGTATACATATCTATGTGAAGAGAACCAGGGTTGTAACTCTTATTGGCTTTTCATGTGTAAGGCCCTGGGTTCAATCACTAGTTTCTCTCCTCTCTCTCTCTCTCTCTCTCTCTCTCTCTCTCTCTCTCTCTCTCTCTCCCTCTCCCTCTACCTCTCTCTCTTTCTCACACATATACACAAAGTATCTATAACTTTTACATATATACCAGTGGCTTTTGAAAATATTTGACCTTGAATTAATAAGAAATAGATCTTTTATTGTCACTAAACAAGCACATATATGGGTATGAATGTAAGTATTCAGATATAAAGTTGAAAATAAATAATTTTTTCATTTTAAACGTTTTTATATGAAAATACTTATCCACTCCACTTACAAGACACAGTGATATATCCATATTTTTGTCACATAATCTACTCTATCTGACAGCCTTTCAAAAATTGGTTGCCACCCACTAAATTGAATTCACAAAATGAAATTGAATTCACAAGCCTCTAATGGATTGTAAGCTGCAATTTGAAAAACAGAAATCTAGACTATAAAATTTGTTTTCATTATCGAGTTGAAAATTGCTCATTTTCCCCACTGGCCTTGTCACTTCGATCCTTTTTCTTTGCTATTCCTCACAACCGTATTGAACTCTCCTTCCCTGGGTATTTGTATCATGGAGAAAAGATGCCTATATTCAGAATCAAATATTAGGACTGATGCTGAAGTTTAGTGCAAGTCTTCATCAGAAGAAGATGGTTTGATGGAAAAAAGTTTAGCCAAAGAGAAGCATTTATAAATAATGCTAAAGCTTTGGGAAAGAGGCCACTTCCACTGTCTATAATTTTTAGCACTGAAACTTAATTCTTAAAACTGATAGTGCTGGAAGAAGAAAGAAGAAGAAGAAGAAGAAGAAGAAGGAGAAGGAGAAGGAGAAGGAGAAGGAGAAGGAGAAGGAGAAGGAGAAGGAGAAGGAGAAGGAGAAGGAGAAGGAGAAGGAGAAGGAGGAGAAGGAGGAGAAGGAGAAGGAGGAGAAGGAGAGGAAGAAGAAGAGGAGGAGGAGGAGGAGGAGGAGGAAGAAGAAGAAGAAGAAGAAGAAGAAGAAGAAGAAGAAGAAGAAGAAGAAGAAGAAGAAGAAGAAGAAGAAATTATAACTAATGGTTGCTATCTTATAGAATAGAGAAAGTACACATTTTTAGAGTATCCATTGATAAAGACTTAATAATGAAAGTGAATTACAGCATGTGCATAATTCCTAAATTTTCAAATACAAATAAAATGTCTCCCTAATATCTAACACAATAACTACAAAAAGTAGTATTAGAAGAATAAAGACATTTTTAAAAAGGGTGCAAAAGTAAGTATGGGCACATGAAAAAATGCTCTACATCACTAATCATCAGGGAGATGCAAATCAAAACAACAATAATATATCATCTCATACCACAGAGACTGGCACAAATCAAAAAGAATAAGAACAACCAGTGCTGGCATGGATGTGGGGAGAAAGGGACTCTCTTTCATTGTTGGTAGGAATGCCAACTGGTCCATCCTTTATAAAACAATCTGGACATTCCTCAAAAAACTAGAAATTGAGCTTCCATATGACCCCTTAATACCACTTCTGGGAATATATCCCAAGGGTGCAAAAAAGCACAGTAGAAATGACATCTGCATCTGTATGTTCATTGCAGTACTGTTCACAATAGTCAGAATTTGGAAACAACTTGAGTGTCTGAGAACAGATGACTGGTTAGAGAAACTTTGGTACATATATGTATGGAACACTGTGGAATGTACTATGGAATACTATGCAGCTATAAGAAAAGATGAAGTCATGAAATTTGCTTATAAGTGGACTGTCTTTGAGAATATCATGCTAAGTGAAATGAGTCAGAAAGAGAGGGACAGACATAGAATGACTGCACTCATTTGCGGAAAATAAAATAATTTAATATGAGACTGACACCCAAGGACAGTAGAGACAGGGCCAAGAATATTGCTCCATGGTTGTTAGCCTGCTTCATGAGCTGGGAGAGAAGGCATCTGGGATAGAGAAGGGATCACTAAGTCAATAATTGTTGGAGGGATTGTTCGGGAAGGGAGATATATGCTGAAAGTAGATAAAGGACCAAACATGACAGCCTTTCAGTACTGCAAACCAAAATGCCTAAAAGTAGAGAGAAAGTATGGGAAAAATTGTCTGCCAAAGAGGTGGGGGGGTGAGATGGAAAGTGGGAATATTGGGGACATTGGTGGTGGAGAATGTGCACTGGTGGAGGGATGGGTGCTTGATCATTGTATGACTGAAACTAAAACATGAAAGCTTTGTAACTGTATTTTAGAGTGATTCAATTTTTTTTAAAAAAAAGTAAGTATGAATGTCCAGAACATCAATTGAACAGGGATAGCTAAATCATTTTGTGACGTGAACGTAGCTAAAAATAACTCTTGAATTGGAGGTTTACTGGTTCATTGTGAAGTGTGACTGGGATCAGTACCAGGTCCTTTCCTGTCGGGAAAATGTGGATTGATTCTAGGTAAAATAGCGTTCATTACCTTGATACTATTTGTTGATATCTAGTTCCATAAATTGCTCATTTCTACAACAAAATGATGTCTTTACAAAACCCCTCGTTCTAAAAATCACTTAAGTATAGTTCAAAAACACCTTACTGATAAGTATTGGTGAAAAAATTGTTACCTTGGTACTCTGTAGGGAGAATTAAAACAGTAAGAAAAGTTATATTCTTACAATACATATTTATGCCCAGGATTCATGTAACTCTCCATGACTGGGTGCCAA